ATATAGAAGCACTCACAGGTCTTGAAGTGGAGATAATGTCAGAAATAAATGATTTAGTGTTTTTGTTTTAAAGTAGTGAGAACATCAGTTAAATCCTTTTCTTTGTTTAATGGCATTCCCTTAGTGCTTTAGGTATCCTACACATATTAAAGCTCACATTTCCTAGTTTGTACATATGCAGTTGTGCTCAAAAGCACATGTGCGGTGTAATGGGCCCAATCATCATTTTCGCACATAGGTGCACCCAATGCATGTTTGCGCATGTATGTGGGGCGAAGGACTTTAAAAACATTTTTATGTGATCTCATTTTTTTAACTTTAATTTTTCTTTAACTCTTTTTTCATTTAACTTTATTGGTATCACATAGGGAGCTAACAAGCCAATATACAGTGACAGGTCCTCTTTATGGTCACCTAGGGACCCCCAGAGAAGCTGATGAAGCAGAGATCTGCTTCATAAGCTCTCCCCAGCTTCTGTAACCAAGAATGACAGCTGAATGTGTAAGTGATGTAATATACATAATTTCCTGCATTCAGAGACCGGAGAGGAGATTGTAAGGAGATTGTATACTGAACTCCCTCTGGTCTCCTGTGACAGAGCCGCCATGCCGGTCCCAACCCGCAGTGCTCGGGATTATCGGGAGGAGCCGTACATCCGCATGCATAATGCAAGAGATCGGGCGTCTTCACAGACGCCAGATTGCTTGTATGATGTAAACAGCCATCACTGGTTGTTTACATTTTCAACAGATTTCCAGCTCGTGTGCTCCGCCTAGCAGGAGCGGGGCGGGAAAGGATGTTTAACCACTTGTTGTCCGGAGCAATTTCTTACTATTTGCACACATATGATAACATCTGAGTTTTTGCCTAGAAAACAGCTTCAAACCCCCAAACAATTATATATTCTCTGAAGGCAGAGGCCCTGTAGAATAAAAAATGCTAGTTGCAAGTTTTTATGTCGTAAGGTATTTGCTCAAATGTTTATCAAAAAAGTATTTTTAGGATAAAATACACTAAAATGAAATTTAGTGCACAGAAACAGAATATAATACCCAATTTTTTTGATAAAATATACAAGATGGGGTCACGTCGGGTAAATAGATACCAAACATGTCAAGCCTTAACATTTTAAAAGATTTTACCGCTCATCAGTTTAGTGCTAACAGTGATTAATGGCTATAGAATTATTCCTCTCACTCCAATGTTCGCTGCGATATGTAACATGTGTAGCACAATTTTAATTTTGCACGCAGGCGCACCAACGCATGTTTGCCTATGTATGTGCGTTATTTTTTAAACACTTTTTTTACACTAACTTTATTGCTATCACATAGGGGGCTAACAAGCCCCTATTTAATAGCAGATAGGGTGTGACAGGTTCTCTTTATGGAGACTTCACGGGTCTTTCAGACCCCTAATGTCACCAAGGGATCCCAAAGAAGCAGAGGAAGCAGAATTCTGCTTTCCCAGCTTCTTCCCCTGGCTCTAAGAGCAGGAGAATGTAAACAGTGACACTGGAAGTGATGTAATACACATCACTTTCGGGTCCAATGATTGGAGGAGATATCAGCATCTGGAAGCCTGCTGATCTCTCTCTGATTGTTGCCGGAAAACCCGCTGTGCTAAATAAATTGGTTTAGTAGTATAGTATAAATTTAATGTTTCTGCTTATTGTGGGTGTGTGTTAGCCACTTGCTTACCGGGGTGTTAAACCCGCTTCCTGTCCAGGCCAATTTTCAGTATTCAGCGCTGCGGTACTTTGACTGACATTTATTGCGTCATGCAATGCTGTACTGAAATGAATTTTATACAATTTTTTTGGGAACAGATAGAGCTTTCTTTTGGTGGTATTTAATCACCACTTTATTTTTTACTATATTAATACCCAGTTTTCTTGTAAAATATAAAAGACAGGGTCACGTCGGGAAAATAGACACCAAACATGCCAAGTCTTAAAATTATGCGCGCCTGCGAAACCTCAAAAAACTACAATGCCCAAAATCGGCCATAGGCAACGCTTTACAAGCTTTTACCGTTCATCAGTTTAGTGTTATCAGTGATTGATGGACCTATCGTTTGCGGCGATATGTAACATGTATACCGCAATTGTCGCTTTCGCGCGCGGGCGCACCCAGCGCGTGTTTATGTTTATATATGCGTGTACGTGGGGGTGGGGGACTTAAACATTTTTGGGTTTTTTTCTTTATATGTGACTTTTATTTTATTTTTTACTTTTTATTTTTTTACACTTAATGTTATTGCTATCACATAGGGGGATAACAATCCCTCTATGTGATAGCACAGGCACACTGACAGGTCCTCTTTATGGAGACATTAGGGGTCTTTAAGCCCCCTAATGTTACCTGGGAACCCCCAAAGAAGCTGATGAAGCAGAGATCTGCTTCATCAGCTTCTTCTCTCTGGCTATAGCAGCCAGAGGACTGACAGGTGAATGCAGAAGGGATGTAATACACATCCCTTCTGCATTCAGACGTCGGAGGGAGATCAGCAAGGAGGAAGATGCTGAACTCCCTCCCATCTTCCTCCTGACACCCTCCTGAGCCGGTCCCGGGCCACAGATGCGGCAGCGGAGCCCGGGATTGAAGGTGAGGGTGCAGGAGGGGGCAGTGTGGGGACGGCGGGAATGCGGGAGGGGGGGGGCGCACATGGCGGCGCATACAAGTGATCAGACGGCTATAGAGCCGCTGATTGCGTGACCACGCCGGGAAGGATCCGCCGTCCGCCTGTAATTTTACAATGGGCAAGGGGTTAAAAATAATAAATATAAATAAATGCTATGGAAAGAAAAAAAATAAATTGGTTTAGTAATATTAAATAAGATGATTTCATTTTTCTGAGTGTGTACATAATTATAATTTTTTAAATAATATTTACTTTATTTTAAACACCTTTTCTGGCCCAGTCACATCAATTGCGGTGCATTCCAGAGCGGTAGCTGCTGGAACGCACAGCAATTGCACACTAAGCTTTGGGGGCAGGAGGGTGCATGACAGTGCATTGAAGTCAATGGCACCGCAGCCACATCCCCGCCCACAGTGCGATCGGACGTGTGGCAAAACATTGCCTGCATTCCAGTTCACTACAAACACACAAAAATAGAGCATGCAGCATTATTTTGCGTGCACACTGGGCCGAAGCATAGGCATTGTTTTCCCACGCGTTCCATCACACTGCGGGTGGGGGGGAGGCTGCGGTGCCATTGACTTCAATGCATCGCCACGCCCTCTCCTGCCCCAGAAGGAAGGGGGAAGTTTAGTGTACCATTGCATTGTATTGCATGTACGCATGTATGATTGCATATTACACTTAATATGCATTGTATTGCAGTGGAGCTCTGCTATACACTCACACACTGCACATTACTGTGAGTTTTATTGCCGTTTAGGGCCCAAGAAAATGCTTGCCCAGAATCCAATCAGTAATAAAGGCGTGCCTGGTTTAGAGGAAGGGTCAGATGCCTAGGGTGTGGGGGTGCTGTGCCCTGGATAAGGGTCAGGTTCCCAGGGAGGGAGCATTGTGCCTAAAAAGAAGGGTCAAATGCCCAGGGAGGGGGTACAGTGCCCAGGGAAAGGGTCAGGTGCCCAGAGAGGGGGTATTGATTCCAGGTGAAGGGTGAGGGGATGACACCCAGGGAAGGGAGTGGTCTGTGTATGGGGGGGAGGGTATGCAGAAAACAGATCTGAGAGGGGATGTGTCTGTGTATGGGGGAAGGGACTGAAGGCAGATCTGTATCCAGGAGAATGGGACACCCAGGGAAGGGCCTTTGCTAAAGAGAGGGGTCGCACTCCCTGTAAGTGGAGGAGCCTTTATTGTATATCATGTAGTGAGGTGGAAAGGGGGTACGGTGCACAGGAAAAGGGTCAGATGCCCAGGGTGTGAGGTTGCTGTGCAGGTTGCAGGTCTGAAGCTAAGGGGTGCATGTGTCCCAGTCACTGCATTAGGAGGGGTGCCGTTGGCAGGGTGAGCAACCACCCAGGGGTGGACTTACCACAACAGGGCCAAAGTGTGGGGGGCAGTAAGATCCGGTCCTAGCCCCCCACCCCACAATACTACCTGGCACATACACAGTATTAAGAGTTAAGGGTATGCCGACTTTTGAACAGGGGTCATTTAGTTTTTTTTACATTTGTTGCCATGTTTTGTTTTATGATTGTACCATTCTGTTATGACCTACAGTTGTATATGAATCCCATAAGAAATACAAGAAATGTGTTTTGCCTGCTCATGTTTTCTTTAAAAACGGTACAAATACTACCAAGGGTATGCAAACTTTTGATCACAACTGTATGTTCCCTCATGTTTTTGTTTCTTTTATGACTGTTGCATGAATAGTAGGCATTAAACTAAGGGTTCACCTAAAAAAAACAATGGTATGGCTTTACAACAGCCATATCACAGCTTTTTTTTCTTTTTTTTTTTAAAGAGCACCACACTTTTATAAAGGGCAGTGCAATAAAAAAGAAGGTGGGATGCAAACAAAAAATAATTAGGGAGAAGAGGCTGATCAGGTGATCTATTAAAGTCTTGTAACTGATGGACTGGTGTCTTTAATCAACCTCAACAATTCAATGTAACCATATAACTGGTCTGTCTTTCAACCACAGATTTCCCTTTGCTGTGTTAAGAAATGAGAACTATGTGAACTACTTCAGGCTCTACCTGCAGTCTGCATTTTATGAATGGGCCGCAAAATGCATGCCCTGGTATAGAGTAACCTAGGGGGTTTATAGCGGAGAGTTGATAGTGTTAGGCACTCTCTTTTATAAATGAGCCCCTTAGGTGTATGTCCCATCAAAGGATTAATGTAGGTGCTTACAGATATCATGTTGCAATGGATTACTTTAGATTCCAAATGAGTGTAAATATGGTAAGCTTTCTGAGGTAAACATAGTTGCAGTATTTCATGAACAATGTTAGCGTTTTTTGGACTGCCTTCATTCAGATTGGATGGCAGACCAACACAGCAAGGTGAGCCAGGAACTTGGTTTCAGAGAACATGAACATGCAAACATGTTCATGTTACAGGATTGTCGGTGATCTGAGTGCAAGGTGTAACGACAATGTAGCTTGCAGTATCTGAGTTGGGGTAAAGTGAGTTGCTCACTTGCATTCTGAGTTTAATGTGAGCCTCATGGTATCACTCTTCTCTGGTCACACTGTAAGCATTAGAGCTCCCCCTAGCTGCATTACTGGGAGGTCGATTCATTTACCTGCTACATTAACTTATAGCTGGGACAGGCAGTAGGCTGTTTAGTGGGTGCTTACAGTTCATCTGTGACAGGCATGGGTTTTCTTGTGTAAAATATGTAATATCAATCCTAGTAACATTTTCAATTGTAAAGCAAGTGTAGAAATTAAATTACTTCTGCATATCCTCGTAAATGCAGTTCTACATGATCAGGTTGGGAACACGTGTGTTCCACAGACAAGGTTTCTATAATGGATAAATCTATCTATCTATCTATCTATCTATCTATCTATCTATCTATCTATCTTACATTTTTTATTAATATTATTATTAATTGTTGTGTATCTAGAAATGTAAACAAGAAAATTACTATGCTCACCATTAGATTTCACATGCTCTGTAGTAATACTGTGATGTGGGAGCAGGCTCCATCTATTTGCATGCATGTTGAACGAGAATCCATAACGCCAGCAGAGTTTTCAATTATTTGAATGATTGCTTCTGTGGTTTTTGTTTAAAAACCGGGTAAGGCACAGGTAATTCTTTATTGGAACTGTGTTTTTAATATAGTCTATTCATTTTCTCTCTCTATTTTGTTTAACATTGTTAGATCACAGCTCCAAGTACTGGTACAAGCACTGACATAAATACAAAGAAAATTGCCAGTGTTACTGATATTTGTGAATCCATGAAGCAGCAACTGCTGGTCTTGGTGGAGTGGGCAAAATACATTCCTGCTTTCTGTGAGCTTCCTCTGGATGACCAGGTAAGAAATGTGTAAATAAATAAGATTAAGCTGCACTGAATCAACAAGACATTCAAAGTTAACAATGCAATTCAAATAGGAATTATGCTTTTACTGTAATACCTTAATACTTGTAGACATTTTAAAAAGGTAATATGAAAAACAAATGAGTAGTTCCCAATACATTGTGTGCACAATGTTTTAAAACCTCTATATCTTTTGCTATCCATTTAGTATTGAAAAAAAAACATATATTTTACTTGTTGGGACATATTTTGGTTTATTTACTGAAGAAGCAGAGACTGTTCACTTAAGTAAACAGAATGTATACTTATCTTAGTCAATGGAGAAAGCTCGGGTTCACTTCAATCATCCAATAATGGGCAAGGCAAAATCCTTTTTATTTTCCTGCACGAGTGGGTGTTCAAAGTGAACCCAACTTCATTTTATTCTTTAACCTAAGTAACTATGTACTTTGTCAATGTGGACCTCAAGTCAAAAGGTGAAAATGTGTTATGTTATAGGAAACATCTAGAAATATTACTTGTGCCCAAGCAGCATCCTAAGAATTGGGTTTTTTTTTCTTGATTTCCTTCTGAAAAATAGTACTGCACTTCCTGGCATGTCATTGTGCCTAGGCATTGCTTTGCCTACAGGCTAAATGCTGTATAAATGCTGTGTGAGATCTAAGGCCCTGCAGCCTCTGACTGCTGGTCTTGGGAGATTTTGAGTAAGATTTGATGATGTCACTACTGTGCTGCTTACTGTACTCCTTGCTTGAGGCTCTGCAAACAGGTAGCAAAGCCGTTCCTCTACAAAGATGGCCACCTACACACAGAGACACAGTACAGAACAAGTGATGGTATGTCAGTAATGGGTAAAGATTAGCTGCAGGGAGATCCTAGGCAATACCAATGAATAGCCCTTTGCCCTCTTTCTGTCTTTTTAAAACAGGTTTTTAGGGTCCTGTAGTTCTTTAAGTGAACAATCTCTACTTTAAAGGGGAACGTGTAGGTGTTTTGCTAGAGTTTTTAATTTTAAAAATATATATTAAACATATGTTTTCAGTCAGGTGAATTTGAAACATGTCATATAAGTATTTTATATTTCCATATTCATTCAGTAGATAGAGCTATTTTTTGCATGTTTCCTAGCTACAGTGGTGTTATCTGCTTTACCTAAAAAAAACTATTTACGGAGCTCAGTAGCACATGAATCAGGGAAATAACCCATCTCCCTCTCTCCTATTTCTTCCAACTTTGTACAGATGGCTTTGTATAAAGTTTGCATCTGTAAGGCAAAGAGCGTTTGATGTTATTTTTTTTATTAAATAGGGTACAAACTAATATGTACCAAAACAAAGGAGACTGCAGAATTACAAAAATCATTTACAATCACCTTTTTAACTTTATTACACATATAGATCTATTTATATGTTAAAGGAGAACTATGAGGTGAGTGCTTTTCACTCACCTCATAGTTCTAGCCGACCTGTAACAATGAGACTGTCACAGGTCGGCTCAGTAGATCGGGAGGTGAGCAAACACATACCGGGTTCGCTCACCTCTCGATCCTGTCACGGCTCTCTGCCGTGACAGGGGGAGGGGCTGGATTCCCCTCTCCCCGCTCCGATCTGCCAGCGCTGACTGGCGGAAAGGATGGAGGAGGGGGCGGGTACAGCTGGCTCTGCCTCTAGATAGGCAGAGCCAGCTGTCACTCACGCAGCTGGGCGGATCCCGTCATCTAAGTCGGGATCCGCTCCGGCTGCGGCGTCTCAGTATACCGCGAGCTGTAGCTCGCGGTATACTGAGCTTAGGGTAACGCGAGGACAATAGTTTGTGTCCTCCTGTTACCCTAAGAAGAACTATGGGGGAAAAAACTGACCCCATAGTTCTCCTTTAATAGCAGTTGTATACAGTGCGTCATTTTGAACTCCAGGCTTTTACAATCAAACCCTGTTTCCAAAGGATTTTACAGTCAAATGCTCCTACCACAGTCTTAAACATGGATGGTAGGACTATTTTTGGTAGAACCAGCTAATCAGTCTGTATGATGGTATCAGTCGATATGGTGGATGAATCCTATGCAAAAACAGGGAGAACAAAAAAGCTGCTTGTAGATAGTGCCTTTGATTGCAATCACACCCAAGTGCTGCAGGGCCATTTTTCCAAACATGTAGATGCTAAACAAGACGTTTTAAAGTGTAACTCCAGCCAAGTGATTCAAAAAACATACTACAAATGTTAAAATAAAGCCATACTTACTAACCTGTGGTCCACTGATCTCCTGCTCAATCAATTCCGGTTGTTACAACCAGCTTGGCAAAGACTCTTTTCTTGCTGACTGATGTTGTTGCCACCCTTCTCATCAACTTTATCACCTATGGATTGTGATAAGGGCAGGGCCAGCGTCTACATCACTAGGGTGGCAAATGGGGTTATGGTTAGGATTGCCCACGTACATTCAATCCCTGATGAATGGAGCACTGAGATGCCAGCTGTTGCAAGACCACAGATTAAGGTAAGTATTATTATCAGGGTTTTTCACAAAAGGGTGTAGGGTTTGGAGAAGGCAGGAGAAGTAAACAATCTAGGCCAAAATAGCTGATTTGGAAAAATTCTCCAATTCAGCTCACTTTCCAGTTCAGCTATGTTGTCCTAGATTGTTTGCTTCTTCTACCTTCTCCAAACTCTTCAGCCTTTATGAATAACTCTGTGTTTAAACTGTTCTTTTAAAAATGTTGAAGAATTATCAATTGCAGTTGTATTTTTTGTTTTATCACATGGCCAGAGTTTCACTTTAAATAAAATGTATTTTTACTATTGCATACTTTCTAATACTGCCTGATTTATTGGTATGAAGGGGGGGTCCATGACTGTAGTGAGCAAAATTATATTATTATACTTCAATGGAAAAGGGTGCAATATTGACTATTTTGCCCAGAGAATGACAGAGGAAACACAATTAGATATTTTTGATGACAGATTAAAGCAAGCAATCCCTAATTTTCTTTGTCTTTTATTTTAGTAGTTACCAGCTAACTATAGATATACCAATTATTTGACTTGATATATGTTTTTTTAAATCTTATTTCGAAAGGTTGCCTTATTAAGGGCTCATGCTGGAGAACATCTTCTTCTGGGAATAACAAAACGTTCCATGCTGTTTAAAGACATTTTACTTTTAGGTAACTGACCGTTTTTGTTCTCTGCTTTAACATTTGAATAATAATATTATATATGTATAGATATCAAAGATCTCAACAAAATATATTTATTCTTTTAAAGGGAACAGCTATGTCATTCACAGGAACTGTAGCGAGATTGAAATAAGCCGCGTTGCAAACAGAGTTTTGGATGAACTTGTCCAGCCTTTTCAGGAGATCCAAATAGATGACAATGAATTTGCCTGCTTAAAGGCAATTGTATTTTTTGATCCAGGTACATCTTTAGTGTAAAAAGAAAAAATAAATAAAATGTATTTAATAAAGAAAAGGTGCTTGCAGGTTATGATGTTGTGGGGAAGTTAAAGCATAGGATGTAATTTTGTCTTGTAAATAAGATACATGGCATGCAGCTAATCTGGACAAATACTAGCAGACTCAGATGCTTGAAGGGAATTTGTCAGGAATACAATATGGGAGATAACATTGTTGACTTGTGTTAGGAGATTTCCTAAAAAATCTCAGATTAGTCATACTGCTTTAAAGCATTTCCTAGTTCAGAAGGAACCTATCAGTATTGGAGTGTAGAAACCACCATTGGGGACTTGATTTTAAAGATGCAAGATGTGTCATCTTTATCCTGTCTTCACCACTTTGTGAGACACTGAGCTAGAACAAGCATTTGCACAAATAATCAGGACATGTGATACTGTATATACCTGTTCCAGCTCTGTGTCTCACCAAGTGGTGAAGACAGGCTAAACCTTGCACCTTTAAAATCAAGTCCCAAATGGTGGCTTTTACACTCCAATACTGCTATGTTCCTTCTGAACTAGCAGAAGCAATATTACTAATCTGAGATGTTTTTGCTAAACTTGTGCTGTGTAGAAGTTAACAACAGGGATAGAGCAAGTGCTTTTATTATGGCATCTAAAGAAATGTTTTAGCCATGCAAAGTAAAATCTCTGGATCATACCGGGACAAAAAGTCATGTTCACATAATGATCAGATTTAAACGCTTAGTCACTACTTGACTAGATTTTAACTAGCATCAGCTTAATTATGTCTTGGACTTTACCTAAAGCATAATATGTTTAAATATAGGAAATCAACATTTATGACAATTTTTTTCTAACACCTATGAAGAAATTGAATTAGTCAATTGATATATAGTGTTCTATTTTCTATAGATGCCAAAGGGCTCAGCAATCCAATGAAGATTAAAAATATGCGATATCAAGTACAGATTAGTTTGGAAGATTACATTAATGACAGACAATATGATTCCAGAGGAAGATTTGGGGAGCTTCTTTTGTTACTGCCTACTCTTCAAAGTATCACTTGGCAAATGATTGAACAAATTCAGTTTGTGAAGTTGTTTGGAATGGTTAAGATTGATAATCTTCTCCAGGAGATGTTATTGGGAGGTAAGTCATTTCACCAGTAATACATTCATGAGGATTTCAAAATATCTGTTGATTGTTCACCTCTAAAATATTCCCTAACTTTTATATGAAATCGTAAGCAAGGATCAAATTATAGTTTATAAAATGTACTTTTTTAGACTTCAGGAGGCAGTTTTAGAATTGCTTCTTTTTAATTATCTTAATAGCGGTAATTAACATTGAGTTAAACTACACCAATGCAAAATAACAGGTAGGCTCAAAACATATACATAAAATTGGTTTGATGCTTTTAATCTTCAACCTATAAGCAATTAAACTTTATTTAATAAGGTCATGCAAAATCAGAAAAGATGTATAAAGGTGCCCATACACCTTACGATTATCGTACGACAATCGTTTGCGATCGACTTTTCGTACGACAATCGTAATGTGTGAATAGAGTGCCCGACCGATAGTACTGTACAATCGTACGACTTTTGACGGTCAAGCATGTTTGAAAACTTTGCTAGATCGTACAATGTTCGCATGGTTGGTTGCGTTTCCGTCCGTCAAAAGTCGTACGATTAACACTGCGCATGTGCAAACGAAAATAATTGCGGTCAATTACCGCAAGTCGTCCAGGTGTTTTTTTTAACTACCGCTAATTGGACCTTGCGATAATCGGGGCAAGATGGGGCCGTCGTACGAAAATCGTACGACGGTTCGATCATTGGACGAAAAGTTTCGTACGATAATCGTAAGGTGTATGGGCACCTTTAATCTGGCTGGGGTTGGTCTAGTGTGACCCCAATTTACGTCTTTAAAATGTTACACTAGTTTGCTATGCGGAGAGTCTCTGGAAGAAATATATTCAGCAACTCTCTATGCTGCTTAGGGTTGTGGAGCACAGTGCTGTGATTCTTTTCTCTGCATCATAGCACTTGGTCACGTAATCTGGGAAATAATATGGTCTTTGATATTTTCAGCATAATCAAAAGCGTAACAATCTGGGGCAGTAAAGGATGAGAGGACAGTAGAGAAAGAACTTGGGGGTGCACACAAGAGTAATCACTAAAGGGGCTGTAAGGGGGATCAATTGGGGCAGTAAAGGAAGCAAAGGAGTGTAGTTACAGCAGGGCACAGTAGACATGTGTGGCGGCAAAAAAAAACGGATTGGTTCGGTTAATTTCGGATTTTTCCTTATGTTGTTTTTTGGGATGGTTGCAGCAAAGTGACATTCGAAAAAAAGAAAGTGACATTTTTCTTTCTAGCTTGACAGTCCACAGAAACGATAATTAAAAAAAGCTTGGGGTCCCCCAATTCATACCAAACCCTTTAGGTGTGGTAAGAATTTTAGGGGGACCCCAAAACAAAAAAAAACACCTAAAAAGCTTAAAATCCCTTACCAGACCCTTGATCCGAGCAGCAACCTGACAGAGCAGGAAAGGGGGGGCAAGCGTGTGTTCCCCACCTGCACCATACCAGGCCACATGCCTTGACATGGGGAGGGTGCCAGGCAGGACCCCCTGGAAAAGCACTTCTTCACCCCAACCCTGGCCCAGTGGTGGTTTGCGGTCTGCAGGCAAGGGGGCTCTGCCAGACTGCTGCTTGGATCAAAGGATAAGGGACTTTAGGGGGGATCCCAACACCAAAAAAAAGGGTCCTCCATAAAATCCCTTACTAGACCTAAAGGGTCTGGAATGAATTGGAAGGGAGACCAATCTGTTTTTTTTTTTTTAACAACACAAGTTTATTCTGAATCACATTTGGAAAAAAATTCAGATGCATCCCAAATTTTTGTTATTGGAATATTTAGATATGTTCAGATTCGTTATTTTTTGTTTGAAAATTCGGATGTATCTGAATGTCTAAATTTCCGAAAATTCGTCTACATTTTTATTTGGAACTAAACAAATCGCACATGTCTAGGGCACTGAGGTTTTAATGCAAAGCTGTGCGACTGTGTGCAGAATGCAGTATCCCATAGCAAATGATCAGAGTTCACTTTATTGCAGTTAAATTAGTAACACAGGTATTTCTGATAGGTTGCCACTGGTTACTGCACTTTTCCAAACATTTTGCTTTCTTCAGTGCCTTATAGAGTGATCCTGCTTGTGTATTTATTATTTTTTTTAAAACAGTTTATAGTTTCATATTGATATGAATTAGGCACGGTAATAAATTTTTTACATTTACCATATACAGCAGGGGTAGGCAACCTTGGCACGGCAGCTGTGGTGAAACTACAAATCCCACCACTCCCCTGGGAGTCATACCAGTGACTTGCAATACCTTTTGAGGATTTGTAGTTTCACCACAGCTAGAGTATCAACCCCTAATATACAGTATTATTTTGCACCTAGTCTTCCAATTCACACTTGGTTTAATGCTGATGCTTAGCTCCAGTAAACCTCCCAGTCTAGTGAGAATGTATTAAATATTCTCTAAGCACTTTCTCATTAGTATTACAGTTTTTGCTATTCTATTAACTAGTGTTTTCCGTATAATCCTCGGTTTTGGACAATCGTTACAGAGAAACCTTGCCATATTGATGTGTTTGGCCCAAATTAGCAGAGTAATCGAACAATACAGTTCAAGCAGACCATAACACTCAAAAACCAAATTCTACCAATGCATCCCTCTATGCATGATGATTAATAATAACAGACATGTCAGGTGTAAAATGCTGTGATTTTGAGATACTTACACTTGCAGAGCATTAACTTCCTGCTGTGAAAGGGTAAAATGACTTCAGTTTGCCAAAGCAATGCACACTGGGATTGCCTTGTTATCAGCAGAGCATTGCTGGGAAATATCATCTGTAATCTCATGAGATCTAAGGGAAAGGCGTTTTCCTCCCCTGAGATGATGTGTATGGTCACATGTCCTAGTCACATGTGCCAGAAATCAAAGAAGAGAATGGAGAGCTAGTAATCTGCCCTTAGTAAACATGCCCACTGCCAGAAGACTGGGGAATAAAAGAGAAATAAGGTATGCAAAGAATGTGTTTGTAGATTGTCATTACTAAACATTTCTAAAGGTGTGTTTGTTTTTTTTAAAGATATGGGTAAAAGTCCCCTTTAATCTATCCCCACCATTGTACATTAAGAAGGATTGAGAATAAGTTGTAGTGTCAATTACTTAAAGTCTTTTAGGTTGGGTCTGGTCAGACCAGATCATATCATATATACTACATGTTCTTGATAAACCTGTTAAGTCTTTGCTGAAAATGTTCAACTTTCAAATACTTATTCATTTTTTAACAGGTTCAGCAACAGAGTCTAGTCACATCCATCCTGTCCATCCTCATATAGTGCAAGACCCTCTAGTGGGACAGACACTGCTCATAAGTTCCATGTCTTCTACACTACACTCAGAACAGATTGGTGTGTATATTAAGCATGTTAAAATACTTCCAGTGTGGTAAATGCAGCAAATGTTTCAATAAATATAATGTGTCCACTAAAACTATTATGTAAAAAATATACAATTCTTGCCTGGGGATTCTACATGTATGCCAGAATTGCATTATAGAAACATATGTGCATTTCAAATTTTGCATAGTTTTTAATTTTTTTACATTGAAAACAATATTTTCTCTTTACTTGCATAAATATAAATTTGCCTGTTTGGCATAAGTATGACTACATCTGTTATAGCTGATCTCTAGACAGCTACAGTATAAAAAAAAACTACTTAAAGAAGTATCGCCATCATTTACATTTTTGTGTAGAATGCCCCAGAATCGGGTCTGCTACAGCGCTGGCTTGGTTTGCGCTCCTCTCTGGATTGTGCTGAATGCTGTCTGTCTGGAGAAGCCCAAGCAGGCAGGATGCCTGTTTTCTTTTATAGGGCTCAATCCAGACACAGTGGCCACATCCATGGGCTGACTTTCCGCTCAGTGGCAGCTGGGGTTGGGATAAATCTTTTACATGCAGAGTACTAGCTGACAGCTTGTATTATTGTCATTCCGTTGTTGTAAATTATGAGAGTTGTAATTTCCAACTAATATATGAGATAGACTCATTACATGCAAAGCAAGATAATTCAAGCCGTGATTTGTCATAATTGTAACAGTGTCAGCACTGACATAGTGATTACATGGCTTTCAGTTTCCTACATGGTGAAATTTAAAGTACTATTAAAGTCACTTTTATTTTTATATACATCTACTGCTAGCAAGCATTAGACATATGCTAAAACATAGAAAAAATTAAAAAGTTACCCAATAGGTGTCTCCGCTGCTCACTCGCGTCTGAAGATCTGAAGATTCTAGCGGCCGTGAAGGATGATGGGGCGGGCAAATTTGCACAGTAGAGATCTTCGTCGGGGAGACACAGTGTAAGTCAATGCAGACAGTCGTGAGCGTGCACATTGGACAGACACCGTGGGACACAGAAGACACAGCAGTCAGCGCTGGATCAGTGACCGGAACCAGCGCTGGAGGGACTCCTGAAAAATACTGGAAAGAAGAAGATGATCGGATCAAGAGGCATTATTTAAGGTAAGTAGACATGTGCGATTCGTTTCGTTACGAATCGAAATTCGTACGAATTTTCCTGAAATTCAGAAGCATCCGAAATACGAATTGCAGTTTCCGAATTATATCCGAAATACGAAATTCCGTTAACGAATTTCGGATCCGAATTTCTTTGAAACAGGAACTAATATTACCCCTGTAAATGAGGTTGAAAAACATGACAAGATTTTTTTTTTAATCCGAAATACGGATCCGCTGCTGCTGTGGGTTGCATTACAATACACAGTCAGGAAATACGAAATTCCGTTGACGGAATTTCGTTCCGTTACAAACATTCGTTATATTGAAGTTAAAAAGCAAAGTACATTTGTTAATATATTGGAGTTGATGGCAGTTTTTTTTAATCCGAAATACGAAATTCGGATATGGAATCCGTTAACGGAATTTGTATTTCGTTTGGTTGACCAATCAGAGGTTTTCTCTTCTGCTGCTGACAGTTGCATTATAATACAGGCAGGAAATACTAAATTCCGTTGACGGAATTTCATTCCGTTACGAACATTTGTTATATTGAAGTTAAAAAGCAAAGTACATTTGTTAATATATTGGAGTTGATGGTAGTTTTTTTTTTATCCGAAATACCAAATTCGGATCCGGAATCCGATAAAAAAACAACTACCACATCGACTCCAATATTAACAAAGGTATTTTTGCTTTTTAACTTCATCATAACGAATGTTCGTACAGTTACGAAAATGTGCCGAAACTAACGAAAATTCGTATTTCGAACGAATCCGAATTGAGTTTCGGACACGAATTACGAAATACGAAATAACGGATATTCCGAAACGGAAGGAAACGGAACTAATTTTGTGACGGCGCACAAGTCTAGAGCAGCATGGGGGGAAATTGTGACTTTGTCACTTTAAGGCCAGTTTTGCTATTTCCATATTGGCAAAAAATTTAATTTTACCCGGTAAATTAAGTTTGTAAAAATCATTTGCTTCTTGCTATTGATAAATTGTAAATGTATATGGCTAAGTATATTTATTTTTAATTTTGTGTTTTAGCCACTCCTGAAACACCTCTGCCTTCTCCTCCTCAAGGGTCAGGACAAGAACAGTATAAGCTATCCACAAACCATGCAACTGTCATTACACATCAGTCAATCTTGAAGCAAAAACCTTGATATTTTGTACATATTAATGAAAAGAATGGACACTGCCAGTTTTGCTCCTCTGAAGCCCTCAGCAAGCAGCTGCACTTAGGATGGCGCATTGCACAGTCATCTAGAAATAAAGTGTATTAGAGTCACTACTGGTAACTTGTTAAATGAGATATTTCATATATCAGGCCTTTTATTAATTTCATATATTTTCCTAATGAAATTGTTATATGTTAAAATTAATAAATTAATAGATTTGGCAATATATTATAATATTGCTATTTTACTACTTGTTTATACATACTTTAAAGTATATTATATGCAAAATATAATTTATGTTCTTTTATTAAATATGTGTTACTATATTTTACTGCAAACCTGTATCCAGTCTCACATTAGATATACTAGCCAAATGTGTCAAAGTAATTTTAATTTTTGGAAAAGGTCCAATTAAACTTGCAGGGTAGGTTTGCCAGAGTAAATTTTGACATTATGTGATAAATGTGCTTTCTAACTAATATTTTTGTTTAGATAGATAAAATTACTTTGGAAACACCTTCATGCTAATATATCATACTTTATCATTATCAAAACAAAATACAAGCTTATTTTTTTCTATATATATATATCAAGTTAAACTTGTGCCAATGTTTACAGTACATCAGTACAAAAGCAACTGTGATACTCTTTAATTTTCTTTAACTCTCATATTTGCAAAGTAAACTTGTTTATTGAGGATCAAGGATACACATGTAATGCAGAAATGCACAAATACAGAGAATACAGAAGCATAAACAAATGGCTTTATAATGTTTAACAAATCCAACAAAGATTTACTGCACATGGTAATAACTGTCAAAATGTTGAAATAATTATTTTTATTTAATAAACGAAATTACCAAACGCTGTAATTTTTATTTAGATAGCTTTATTCAGCAAGCATGTATTAGTAATACTAGACATGTAGATGATGTTACTGTTTGGATAAATAAAATTAGGCTCTTACATTTTGGAAAACATTATCAATTCAAGAGGTATTGATCTTCACACTGAAGTATGTATTTACCACATATGTAGGGCCTTTTATTTTGTATTTTCATGGTATGCAAGAGTTTTTGAGAAAAGCAAAACTAAGCTAAACATTTTTCTACCCTAATCTTAGAAGATACATTTAAGTGATACTAATTCTGGGCAAAGGTAGATAATAAATGAATATTACTTTTGGGGGCCAAAATATCAGGCACATTGTGGGGGACATTCCTGACCTCCAGAGTGATAAAAGGGCTTGCCATATATTTCCTCAAAGTAAAACACCTTAATTTGTATAGATGAACGAAGTTGCAGTGTTTTGTTTCGTACAACCCATGACATTATAGGGAATTCAAAATACTGATATACTGATTTAATAAGCTAGAGTAAATAATTTCACTTGCATTTTGGAAGTATCCTAACTGTAATGTGGTGGCATTTATAAAAAGATTTTATGATTATTTTATTCTTGATTTCTAATAATTATTGACCATTGATTAATGGGATGAAAAAAAAGTGGTTGTAAGCTAAAAACATGCATGTTTAGTAATAGCAATCCATAACCAGATACGTATAGATAAATGCAGACTTTTTATTCTTTGCATACCTTATTTTTCTTTCCCTCTCCATTCTTCTCACAGTGGCCATTTTTAAGGGCAGATTGGTCTACTGTATCTCCATTTATGTCCTGCAACTCTGGCACATGTGCTAGGACATGTGACCATGCACATTATCTCAGGGGAGGAAAATGCCTTTCCCTGAGATCTCATGAGATTACAATGAGATTTCTCAGCAATGCTCTGTGACTTAACCTTCCCAGGATGCAATGCTTGGGCAAAATACATCACTTTTGCCAAAGAAACATGTAAGTAAATTGAAAATATGTTTGTTTAACTAATGAATGTAAGATGATTTCATATCAGCATGCAGAGCTGCATGCTGATGTGTATTTAAGCCAAAGGGGGTAAAGGTCCACTTTAAATTTCATCAACAATTCTTTGGCTTTTTATAGTGTGAATGTTACCAGTGGGTCTTTAATATTGTGCATCTTGTTCTAGTAATCATCTGATATTCCAATTTTGAGTGGTTGATAGCAAGCACATACTTATATTCTTATATCTTACAGAAACATCAGTGGTGAGTCATTTACACCAGAATTTAAAGTTCTACTAAATTGTCATGGTTACTGCAAAGCAAAATGGTGGTGTCATGCTTTCCTGATGAAAAAAAAAACAGAATCAATACAGTCCCATTTTAATTGTTAAATTGTGGTACACAAACTACAGTGTAGTAGTGTAATAGCAGAAGTGTAGACTTTACTGAAATACAATGTACAAGTATGGGGACTTCAGGCATGCTCTCTATGCAAATAAATCTTGGCAAAAGGACTGGGTAAGGTAATATTTAGATGGAAGCGTTCACCAGACCAGACCAGACCATCTACCTGCAGAATGCACTATTTACACATCTGTACCACATCCACACAAGGATGATATATCTGATCTGGTCAGTAACTGAAGAGCCACAAAGAGGTAGGAAATTTTCAGGTAATGCTCCCTGAGAAATGTATTCAAATGTCCCTTCTTGGTAAAATCAAATATATTGTTGGCACTTGAGTTTCTGTATGTGATAATAAGCCATCAAAGATAAAGCAATAATAAAGAAATCCACCAGTATCCATCCAGGATTTATATATACCATTTTGGGTGTAATTGTGCATTGTATTGAGCGTATACTTGATGACTATTACATTACTAATAAACATAAGCTTCCTTTTTCAGTTTCCACCCTTAACTTCTTTTCAATGTTATTGCTGTGTTTTATAACCCTATGCACCATAGGAAGCACTTTGAAAGCTGCAACTAAACATTTTGAAAGTTAAAATTACAGAGAGAAAATGTTTTTTGTTGTGTCTTTATACTAGGCAATCTAGCCTAATAATCATAATTTGTGCCATTTCCATTATATTGGAATAGAATAACTTTTGCATTTTAACACTACCATGCTAGACACCAATAAGCTTAAAGATGTAATAAGCTTCTAGCTTCGACATTTACTCAGGAGGAGTCCTTGTGCAATTAATTCCACAGTCTTTGGTAGATGCTGCAGATGAATTACGTTAGGAATCATTATATTGAAAATGGAGATGACCAGTTGAGAATTACCTTAAAATTTAACGCACAGCTGTAAGAGCTGTAATGTTATCTTTATATAATTCTTTATGCATGTTTCCTGTAGAGAGAAAACAAAAGCTATGTATGTACTTATTTCAGTGCTGTGCATTCTCATTTCTGAGAATTTCATGAGTATTTGATTTTACTCATAAAACAGTGCTCAGTCATTGACTAGTCGAGCTACTAAAGTTGTAATGTTTCAAAGAAGGAAAAAAAATGCAGACTAAGTTATTCTATTATTTTTTCCATTATTTTTTCCAGGTTATACAAATCAGCAATGGGTTAAACGACGTACACTCTAGAGATATGTTGCTGAAGTTGTACCAAAAAAACCCCACTTAAATCCTTTTTTAAAAAGTGGGAAGGAAATCTGATCACAGAGAATAGTATTACAGGTTCACTAATTTCTTGATTTGTATTGTGTACATTTGCTTAGTTTATTTGTATTGTCATCAGTTATAAATAGGGATGCACCGATACCAGTATTTCGGTATGAGTACCGATATTTTTTTTTCGGTACTCGCTGATACCAAATACCAAGTACCGGAAGTCCCATTCAGGAAGACAGGCGGCATGTAATGGCTCGCCACCTGGCTTCCTGATTAGCCGGGAAGCCAGGCAGCATGTAAAGACTTGCCACCCTGCTTCCCGATTAGCAATGAAGCCATCCCCATGCTTCTTGTCACAGTGTAATAACGCAGCGCCCGGCTTCCTGATTGGCCAGGAAGCTGGCTCCATACTCCCTCGTCACTAGTGTAATGACACGCTGCCCGGCTTACTGATACACAAAGTATCGTGCTAGGCATCGGAGCATTTGGGCGAGTATGAGTACTCACCCAAATACTCGGTTTCGGCACAGATACCGATACTAGTATCGGTGCATTCCTAGTTATAAACAAATTGATTTGAAAACTTGCTTTGTCCAGTCAGCAAATAAATATCTGTACATGATTGGATGGATTCTTATATTTAATGGTTCTTCAGTGACCAGACAGGTCTACATGGAAATTATCAGAAGAAAATAAAACTAATGAATCACAGATGCTACTGATACAGTCATCAATGGCCTTGTGACCTGGCAAGCTAACACCACTAGTATATAAGTGCTGTTAGTTGTGTTTTGCATGATCCTGAAGGCTAAGGAATGGAATCCCAGATAGGAAACCATGGGAGGAGTTCCTTTGAAGCGTGGAAACCAATCACTCTGATTAACAACTGTTAAATTGTAAAGCACAACTGCTGTGCTCTAAGCATGCAGCAGAGCACCATATGTAACACATTGTCGGAAATAGGGAAGAGGTAAAGGAAAAGAAAGTAAGATAGGGTCCTCAAACATTTACATGCACTCTAGCCAATTATGTGAGAGCAGAAGTCCTCCACTTTGTATTTGAGAAAACCACCAAGCGTGAGTTGCTACCACTCAGAAATTAAGGATTTGAAAGAGAGCCACAATCTCTGAACGTCTACTCAGAAAACTCTACTTTCCAAGAGATTACAATCTAGTTGCTGCCTTCTCAAATAGTTGAAGGTTTAGATAAACTAGTCCGTTTACCAACAGTGTTAGTGCAGAACAACAACAGCAAAGCTCACTGTGTCACAGTAGGTACTTAAGGAAGAACTCCAGGAATTTTTTTATTAACCCTTGCAGTGGGGCTAGCCCCACACTGCAAGGTTTAAGTGTGTGTTTGTGTCTAGGTGCTAAAATAACAAATAAATACTTACCCGAAACTCTGAGTCGGACAGCTTTCACAGCACTCCCTCCAGCCTGTCTCCCCCTGACTGCAGCGTTGGAATCTCCCTTAGCATCCTCATGTACATTTT